CTCTCTAATTTGGGGTTCATTCTGTGACTCTGAGTTAACTACTTACCTTCTCTGGGTCTCTTCTGTAAAATGGAGCTTAATAATGGCATATTCTCCTGAAGCGGTTGTGAGGATTCAATATGGGATGCGCAAATAGAGGCAAAGTTCTTAAAATAGTGTGGTACATAGTAGGAGTTCAATAAATGTTAGCCTTGTCACTGTACTTGGTGGGTACCCTCTCTTAAAGTGATAATTGCTGGAGAAGGTTTAGTCTTCCTGTAAACTTTGGCTTCTTGTTCTTTTTCATTGAGGTATTCTTGTTATTTGGGTTACTTTAGTCTCTTGGAATAATACCTTCTGTACATCTGGAGGGATTCGTGTGCCAGTGAAACCAAATCTCACAGAAGCAAATAACCTTCTGGTCTGTTCAACCTCCTTCTTTATCAGGCAGCCTTAGTCACATTGCCTAGATACTAAGTGCTAGCTTTTATTTTTTGGAGCAAAGTAAAGCCCTCCCACCTTTGTGGATTACAAACAGAAATGAGTTATAGTCTGCACAAGGGAATATGGCAGAGATTCAGATGGAAGACAAGTTAAGGGGACTTAACTTCCCTTAGTGGTATTAATACTGTTAATACTAGTGCAGGGCACTTTTCACTAGTAATTTTGGTAGCCTAAATAGTGGTAGATCTGGAACAAAGAACACTGCTAGGGTAGCCTGGGTGTAAAAGGTGTGGATTCAGGATCTTGTTCTTCACTTGATAGCTGCGTGGTCTTGGTGTGTACTCTCAACTCATGGAGCCTCAGTTTCCTCCTCTGCAAGAGTGGATGGTTCTGAAGTTCTGTGAGTATGATCCTGGCCTGCTGTGTTGTGGCCATGGAGATGAGCTCTGTCTCTCATGATTAGGACTTCAGGGGAAGTGAGTATTCGGTTACATGGAATGTGTGTATTTTCTACAACATTAAAAAAATTAATGTGCTTAGTTTTTATGGGTCCTTCTTTCTCCATAGTGCTGGAAAATGGGCATCTATCTCAGTACATGCATGGGAGACAGGAGGTCTGTAGGGAAAGGAGCTAGTAGGTTGTCCTGGCCAGGGCATGTAGGGAACAATGTTGGTAAACAGGGCCACTGCAATGTGTTGGGCAGGGAGGTGCCTACACCCGGCAGGCAGAGGAACTAGAAGAGTTTCCCTTCCCTCCCTTCCCTTCTCATTTTTGATCAAGTCCTGAGCTGAAGAGGTGAAGGCAATTGGAGTACCTCTGAGTTGATTCCAGAAGGGTGGAGACAGTTAATGCCACAAATGAGGCAAGACTGGGCCCCTGTGCAAGTGCTAGTGGGCGTTCAAAGAACTAAGGCCAACAATTTTTCATCTGCATTCCTGATTTGGAGAAGGGGGACAGGCAGAGCTTCTGATCCCAAGAGCAGCATCTTCCCCCTCAGGAACCTGCACCTGCTGGCACTTTCCTTGTTCCCCCTGTTTGATCCAGTGAAGCCACGTTCCTTGATGGAAAGAATAGGTTGTTCCTGGCCAGGAAGGGCCTCCAGCTGCATGTCCTTGCTCTAGGGAGAAACCTCCTTCCTTGAGAGAAAGAACACCTTGGCTTTCTGGAGCTCCCTACCACAGAGGCAGCCTTGGGAAAAGCTGAGATCCCAGAATGAACTCCAGTGCTGCTCTGGCCATTTTGGGGGAGCAGGAGAGGGGTGGCACGCTGTGTGCTAGCAGGAGGCAGGGTGACCATCATTTTTCTGTAAGTTAGTGCTATCCACTATGCATGAGTCAGGAGATGAGACGAGTTGCTTCTTAGGTTTTTTCTGTTCTAAAAGTGTATCATTCTGTGTGCTCCTTCTGTGTCTTTCAGGGCCAGGAGGGGCTGAGTGTGCTGGGATGGGGGAAGGACCAGCGGTGTAAAGCATGGGACATTCCAAGTTCTGGTTGAGAATTGGCCCTTTCCTAGAGCAGGAAACTGAGGCCCTGAGGGGAGAAGGGACTTAGCAAAGCCACACTTTCACTTAGTGATGGGGCCTGGACCAGAATCCAGGCCTCTTACTTCTTGTTCCTGTGCTCTATTCCCTTTGTGAGGTCAGCAGTGAGTGTGCAGGGTGCTGGGTGCCATGGGTCGGGCCTGTCCTGGAGGTGCTGCTGGAGGCTGCAAGCACACAGGCAGCATTTCCAGAGATGATCTCCTTTGCTCATTGGGATCTTATGCTCTGGAGACCAGGGACATGTGGCCCCATTGCCCCCTGCCTCCCTCCTTCACTACGCTATGGCACAAGGCATCATCCTTTCCTTCCTCAACTTCCCTTTTCCCTCCATTAACAAGCTGGCCCATGATCTCAGCAGATGAGTGTTCCCTAAATGCTGGTCCAGTAAACTTCCTCTCCCAAGTTTTGACAGTGGTTATCTTGGAGGTTTCAGAGCTCTGGGGAAAAAGAACTTCCTGGGAGAGTAAGTCTTTGAACAGGGAAGGCACTTGAGGTCCCCTGTGGGTTGCTGAAAGTGAATGGAGTGCACTGTACAGATACAGGCAGCTGCACAAAGATAGGGCATGCATGGCACCTGTCGCTGACTCCAGCACCCTTAGGGTTCAGGCTGGTCACCCTCATGGTTCTTTGGCCAGAAGAACTGTTAACTCATTAGGAGGTGTGACTATCACCTGACTCTGGGAAGCCAAGTTTGACTGCTCAGGTGGTAAACTTGTGAGTGCTTTGGATTAAAGTTTGCTGATTTTCTGAACTATGACCACTTTTCCTCCCATGCCCCCTGACCTCACTAACTCTACTGCCGCTCACCTCCCTGAGGTCAGCATATAAGTGCGTGCACAGACACACTTAATCAGACACACTCACATAGACACTTAGCCCTAAGGGGAAGGAAAATTGAGAATGGCTCTGTGTGTGTGCTCACGTGCTACAGATGACTGCTACAGCTGTTTCTCCTGAGCCACTCAAAAGTTGCTGAGCAGTTAGCTGTGATTTGGAGGAAAGAGTACAAATTATACAAACCCTCACTCAGTGAGTCTTTCTGCTCTGTGACTTGAACCTTGCTGGGTTTCAGTTTCTTTGTCTGTGGGAGGTGGTAATTAGTCATTATTTCAGTGGAATATTGTGAGGGTTAGATTGGGTCATACATGTAAAATGTATGCACAGTGTTTGCTAAATCATGTCTATGATTAGCTGTCTTAGTTACTTTTCTCATCGCTGAGACAAAATACCTTACGCCAAAGTTGAAGGAGGAAAGGTTTATTGTAGCTCACAGTTTGTAGAGGTTTCAGTTCACAGTCAGCTAGCTCCAAGGCAGGGTGGCATAGCAGAGGGGCATTGCAGAGGAGAAACAGTTCATGGCAGGCAGTAGGCAGTAAAGCAGCAAAGTAGTGAAATAGCAGCAGCAGCCTGCCTCTCCCTTTTATCCTTTCTGGGCTATGCCCTTCCTTTGGGTGGCATTCCTCCCACATCCAGGGTGGATCTTCCCATTATCTACACCCAGGATTATGGCAAACCAATCAGTGAACTAATTTAGTAATCATGCAACCTTAATCCCAGCATCACATACTCTAGATTCATCTACCTCTGAAAAGTTCTACTTATGACTCCATGGGACTTTGGAAGTACATCTAGGTATAAGTCATAACATTAGCTAGGATCATGAGCTTCAGTTTCCACTTTTGACAAATATGTATAATAGTACCCCCACCTCCTAATACTGTTGTGAGGATTGAGTGAGGTGATGCACATGATTGTTTCTTGTACACTGTAGAATGCCATGTGCATTAAAGGTAGTGATGTAATGCAGATAATGTTGGTGCTGAGTCTATACATATTTTTCTCAAGGAGAACAGAAGGTGCATGAGTGTCTTAGCCTATTTCCAACTCCTGGAGGGAGCAAGTGCTAGAGATCAAATTGAGGATCTTGTACCTGCTAGGCAAGGGTTCTACCAATGAGCTACATCCCCAGGCCAACTCCTGGCTTCTTCAGGTGTTTAGATTGCATCACTAACCTGTATTGCTCAGTAAGTTCTTTAAACTGCCCACCCCAGGAGCCTCCTTGTGCCCTTCAGCATCCCTGGGAAGTAGCATACTTCCTACCAGAGTGTGCTACTGGAAGCCCTCGATACTGCAGCAAGTTAAGCTTCAGTACAAAAACAGGGACCTAGCCTTGCATGGTGGTGCACACCTGTAATCCCAGCAGGGAGGCTAGGAGGCTGAGCAGGAGGATCAAAAGTTGGAGCCAGCCTGAGCAACTGGATTTTAGCAACTTAGCCAGGCACTGCCTCAAAAAAGTGCTAGAAGATAGCTTAATGTGAAGGCCCTGGGTTTAAACTCCAGGACCTTAAAAAAAAGGAGATACCTTTCTCATGAGTGATGATCTAATTATCATTTCCTCCTCGCAGCCCTTGAGCCTGTGAACTCCTTGGGTTTCTGTAGACACCTGCAGTGTGTGTGGCTTGTAACCACCTCATCTTTTTCCTCCCAGCTCATGGAAGCTGAATCTCTGGCATGGGCCAGTCCTTGGCCAGTGATACTTTGGCTGAGAGTCAGAACTTAATTCATGGTTGTCCAAGTGGCAGCCACTCAGCTAGGAGTGAGGCTTCTCAAAGTTGACTCTGGATGGGGACATGGTTGCCTTCCACCCCCACCTGCCTCAATGAGCCATGACCACAACCTCACCCAGCTGCAGGAGGCACCATTTTTTTGGTCTGGAAGCTGTCTCTATATAAAGCAGTGGCCCTTGAAGTTTAATTTTGTACCTCTGAATTTCCTCCCACAAGATCTCCCTGGGTGGGGTTGGACACATTCTTGGTGAGCACAGAGCTTTCTTCCTGAGGCCTTTTCCCTTCACCTGGGATGATCCAGGCGATTCCCAGTCTCTTAGCAAGGAGCACCCAGCTGGAAGTTCTGGGCTTGGTTGGGGTTGGAGTGGTGATGAGTCGGAATGTCTCATAGGGTGCCCTTTATTCCCTGCAAGTCCCTCTGTCACTGTCTCTAACTTCACCCTGGCTCTGCTTCTGTCCTTTCTGGCAGGACTTGTGTGGGGCCACCACATGTGACACGCTGGGCATGGCGGATGTGGGCACCATGTGCGATCCCAAGAGGAGTTGCTCTGTCATTGAAGACGATGGGCTTCCATCAGCCTTCACCACTGCCCACGAGCTGGGTAAGGCTGGAGTGGGGAGAGAGCTGCACTCTGGGGTTGTTCTGGGTGTATGTTAGGTGCTTTGAGGGTGGGGAGACACTTGGCTTTGCTCTCTCATATTCTGAAACCTTAGGGATCCTTTCTTTTTTTATGAAAGAAAATTGTGTATTTTTATAGATCCTTGGCTCAGAGTTTGCATTGGCAGAGGTTTTGTTTTATATTTTCTGATTGTCCCAGTCTAGTTGGCCAGTAATATGGTCTGAATACCTCTGCTGAGTGTCTGTCACTTGGGCATGATAAGGAGAATAAGATAAAGACAAGAAGATGTACTTCTGTCCTCACTGAGGTCACAGCCTGGTGAAAGGGACAGAAAACGTAAGCACATGAGCTTGAGGACATCTGCAAAGCAGTCTATTGATAGGTGCAAGCGAGTAGCCTGAAAACCTTTCCATGGGCTTTCCAGATTCCCCCTGGTTTCTCCCTGTTCTCTGTGTCCTTGACCTCCTGCCCCAAGTCCTCCTGTGTCACTCCACAGGCCACGTATTCAATATGCCCCACGACAATGTGAAAGTGTGTGAGGAGGTCTTTGGAAAGCTCCAAGCCAACCACATGATGTCTCCAACCCTCATCCAGATTGACCGTGCCAACCCCTGGTCAGCCTGCAGTGCTGCCATCATCACTGACTTCCTGGACAGCGGGCACGGTGAGCCGGGGTGACAGGAGGGTGGGGCTGTCACTGGAGGGAGTGTTCACTTCTTCTCTGGACCATCTTCTGCATACAGAGTTGGGCCTTGATGTGGGTGCATTCCAGATGCTCTCTGGTCCGTTCTCTCCCTGCCCTTTGGCTCCCAGGCCAGCCGAGCCTCTCCTTCTCCAGCATGTCCTGACAAATATCCTTGGCTCTCTGCAGGTGACTGCCTCCTGGACCAGCCCAGCAAACCCCTGTCCCTGCCTGAGGACCTACCGGGGACCAGCTACACCCTGAGTCAGCAGTGTGAGCTGGCCTTTGGTGTGGGCTCCAAGCCCTGTCCGTACATGCAGTACTGCACCAAGCTGTGGTGCACCGGCAAGGCCAAGGGGCAGATGGTGTGCCAGACCCGCCACTTCCCTTGGGCAGATGGCACCAGCTGTGGTGAGGGCAAGTTCTGCCTCAAGGGGGCCTGTGTGGAGAGACACAACCTCAACAAGTACCGGGTGAGTACTGGAGCCCCCATGCTGGGGGATTAGGGGAGGAGAGGAACAGGGCTGGGCCTCCACTGCCCTGGTCTCCACTGGGAAGCTGCCTTGCTTGCTGCAGATTGGCAGGGTGACAGTAACTGTATCACACTGCTGCACTGTGCTTCTGTTTCTGGCTCTAGTCCTGTCCCCTCTTTGCCTCTCGAAGTGGAGAGAAAAACTGTGGTAGGTCAGAGAACTTCTGAGGCTTAGATACATGGGAAAAGCCTCCAGTAGGAGGCTCAGCCATGAGCACTATATCTTGTCACACGGGGGAGAGCTGTGGGCGCAGAGACGAACACTTGCCATCAGGAGCGCCTCATTCTCTGGCTCCACCCTTTCTTCCCTCATCAACTGCTTCTCAGTCTTTTCATACCCAGGGAGTTGGGACTGCACAGATGAACAAGGCTTAGCAAGGAAAGGAAACAAAGCCCTGGGCAGACTTCAGTAATTTGACATACCCTGAACTTTGTTAACTTCAGTCACTCTTGTGATTGTTGTTTTTAGTTGAAATGTAATTGAATAAAAGCCCCCTGCCCCCAGGTAAATAGAACTAGCAATCAAACCAGAGCAACAGAAACCCACATATATTCTCTGACTATAATGTGAACTTTATGTACTTTAGGTCTTATGTTAGGATAGTAAAAGGTTTGTACTTTTCCATGGGGGAAATAAGAAGCCTATCCTTCCCCTGGGTCCTGTCCCTTCCCTACACCTGTCCCCACCTCTGTGCCTTCCTCATGCCTGTCCTCACCTCTGTTCCCATCGGGGTGAGGGCTTGGTACAGGGTTTTATGTGCACAGATGCAATAGTATAAAAAAGCTTTCACCAAGCACCTGCGATAGGTGTGGACCAGTTATTTAAAACCTTTTTCTGTGATCTGAGAATATATA